TAAACAGCGTCAACACGAAGGCACATTCCTCTACAACTGCACAATACATTCCCAATACTAATTATTACATTCAAATTTAATATAAGAAAACTTTTTTATTTTAAATTTTTACTGAAATCCACTCAAAAATATGGTAAAATAATAGCTATCTCAATAGAGGTAAAATGAAGCTTGTACACAAATAAAGGTAATGACGTCACACGAACTGACCAAACCGACTAGAAACCAGGTGCACTTCGTGCATAACTAATGACACCAGATTGAATAAAGGAACGATCGTGTGGTGCACTGGTGTAAACCAGTTTTAACATTGGAACGGTCGGTGAGGCAAACCAATGTCATCAATGCGAATATTAGAACGTGCCCTTTTACTTTAAATTATTTCAGTGCATGTGGCCTAACACATAGCCACCGAGAAATAAGGCCGTTAAGATCACCAAAGTCTTTTAGTGACGTCACAAACAGTGTTTACAGTGTTTTCANCAAATAAAGATAATGACGTCACACAAACCGACTAGAAACCAGGTGCACTTCGTGCATAACTAATGACACCAGATTGAATAAAGGAACGATCGTGTGGTGCACTGGTGTAACCAGTTTTAACATTGGAACGGTCGGTGCGGCAAACTAATGTCATCAATGCGAATATTAGAACGTGCCCTTTTACTTTAAATTATCCAGTGCATGTGGCCTAACACATAGCCACCGAGAAATAAGGCCGTTGAGATCACCAAAGTCTTTTAGTGACGTCACAAACAGTGATGTATAATTGATAAGTGATTAGCCGCCAATTTCAAATACAGTCAAACCCCTCTATAGTGATCCCGATTTATAGTGAACTCCCGGATATAGTGAATCAAATGTTCTCTCCCCTGCTTTGCTACACACGTATAGTGTTATTTTTTGTGGATATAGTGAACTAAAAAAAGAGAGGAAGTTGGACATTATGAACCTTTTTCTGTCTTCGGCTGTTTTATTTTCTCATTTTTTAGGTCATAATTTTGAAATTTTTACTTCAAAATAAATACATACCCCGATTTTTAAAACCATTTATAGCATGGAATGCAGCAATAAGCATTTTTTTTTCCAGTTTGCTTCCTTATTATTCAGTATTCAAAAAGGCCGCAATTTTCCAGTATCTGGACAAATGCTTCAAGTCGAAGCAGTTGAATTTGCTGAGCGATTTGGTGAAACTACTTTTATACGCTCGAATGCCTGGGTAGACAGGTTTTAAAAGCAGAATAATAAACACCGAAGAGCCATTACATTATGAACACCCTGCTAATAACATGTAGGATCACCTTTAGCCCTCAAAACTGCTAGCACCCGCCGTGGCATTGATTCCACAAGGTGCTGATAGGTAGTCTGAGGTACCTGATACCAAGCGATCACCAACTGGTCCTGCAATTCCCTCACCTTGCGAGGAGGTAGCGAGGCAGCACGAATTTGATTTTCCAAGTAGGACCACAGATGCTCTATTGGATTAAGGTCAGGTGAATTTGGAAGCCAAGACATGACTTGAAAGTCACTAGAATGTTCCTCGACGATTCGACCCTTATGATATAGTGCATTATTCTGTTGGTAAACAGCATCCCCCGCAGGAAAAACTGTTGCCATGAATGGGTGAACCTGGTCTGCAACTATGTTCAAGTAGCTTACAGACGTTAGGGATTGTTCTATGAGGATTATGGGTCCTAATGTGCCCCATGAAAACATTGTTCCTGGGCGAGAAACCATGAAAACCTGGGCGAGCCCAGTGTTATAGATGGAGGGTGGTCATAATGTAATGGCTCTTCGGTGTAAGATCAGGAAAAATTATCGGAGAGTCGAGAAATGTTTCCATATCTGATGTAGAAGATTGCTGCACAGCTAAAGATTTTTAAAAAAATTGTACTCATAATGAAGAGTAATAAAAAATAAAAGTTAACCCATTTTTGTTGCTACATATTATTTTTCAGTCATTTTTGTATTTCATTTAATTGTTCATTTATTTAAATAATATGTAATAAAGGGAAGTTTGAAATCATTAAATAAAATTGTTTGTGGGACGGATATAGTGAAGTCCTGGTTATAGTGAACCGAAATTTCAGTCCCTTGAAGGTTCACTATAGCTGGGTTTGACTGTATTTGTCATTCATTGAGCAACAGCACCCGTTGTCCTTCGGATATGTCGTGATAAACCTTTCTCAAAAATATACATAGCATTATTTTACAACTTTTAACTATGCCATATGCGGGTGTAGTACCAAAATGTAAAGGGAACTATAGAAATGAGCCTACAGTATCACTTTATAAGTTTCCGAAAAATGAGGAAATGAAATGAAAATGGATTAATTCCATTAAACGAGTCAGTTATCAAATAACTGTTAATAGTCGAGTAAGTGTTATTTTTCTTTTATATCTTAATATTCGATTTTGAAGACTTTATAATAAGCTTTTTAATTGCATAATGAATGCTTTTCGATTGCATAGAAGATGTATTTAAGAACTACAATGTTTTTGGTATTGTTTATTGTTAGCGAACATTAGAATATAAAACAGCAAAGCATTCGTACTTATGCAAAACTTTTAGACGTGAATATATATATATATATCAGGTATATAGGCCGTGCTACATCAAAGTATGCTAACACAAAATAACTAATGCGTTAAACATAACAAATAAATTTAATAACTTTGGAAAAAAACATAAACTTATTGTAGATTTAGAATTTGTCACACAGACATTAATGAAAAATAGATAAAGTCTTTCTGTTTGCCACACAGGCTTTTTCACTTTCGTTCTGACGCAATGATTCACAAAGAATGCCTGAGTCTCTCCTCTCACATAGAGACAGTGCCATCTAGGAGGAGAAGTAGGCTCTCTAACTCCCTCACACACACACATATATATATACACTCCATAACAAAAAAAATCGTCGCACCAAGAAGCAATCATCCGATTGCTTTGAAATTTCGTATGCATGAATGTTTTGAACAGATATGGCAGGAATGATGCCGACTGGCGACGTACAGTCTTTAGCGACGAATCCCGCTTCCAACTGTGTCCTGACGATCGTGTTTGGAGACGCACAGGGCAGAGGGGGGATCCTGCCTTCACTATTGCACGCCACACCGGCCCTCAGCAAGGCATTATGGTCTGGGGTGAAATTTCCTTCGACAGCCGGGACGCTTTGGTCGTCATTAGAGGTACACTTACTGCACAGTGGTACGTCAACGACATCCTAAGACCTGTTTTGCTACCGTTCCTTTTGCAGCG